GCCTCTCATTTACAGAATCTCAGAGATAAGTGATTTGCCCAGGTCTCAAAGTCTATTTGAATCCAAGTCTTCTGGCTTCAAACCCAGTAGTTGTGTGCCTGTCCCATGTTGTCTTTACAATAAGTTCTACAAGTCCTTAACATGTTTTGTGGTAATGGAATTTCATTAAGCTGAAATTCAGTGCTTGAAACCAACCATATTTCCATACTTCTGGCTTCTAGTAAATTAAGGTATAGTCTTTCTAGGTAAATTAGCACATGAAAAGAAGCAGCTAGGTCTCATGCCCACACTACCCCTCCAACCTTCTGGATATTTTTGCACATCTAATTTTCAGTTCAGCCGGCATTTATTTAGTACCTCCTTTGTGCATTGGTAGAAAGAATTTTTCACTTGGGGCAGGGGGCTTTTACCAATGAAATCACATAGGTACAGTCTCTATCCACCTCCCCTTTACATTGTCTGTATTTAAGCCAAATTGGACTGCAAGCTGTTCCCTGAACTCTGTCCACACCTCCAAAAATTAAGCTATTCTCCATGACTTGGGAAGATAGACTCCTTTATAACCTTTGCCTTGTCTTCCTTCGGGACTCAGTTTAGGTGCCCATTCTTGGAGGTCTTCCTTCAAACTCCCATTTACTAATGTTCTTTATTTCCTCAATTTATGTTATAATTGTGTGTGTACATGTTATGTTTTTCTAGTAAGATCTTTGATGCCTAGGAATTTTTTTTTTGTCTTTTCTCCAGCACTTAACATTGGTGCCTTACATGTAGTATATGTTCAGTGTTTGTGGGATTGAATTGTTTTAGGTTGTATCTGCTCTATTACCTTCGATGCAGATTGCACACTAAATAGTTCTTTTATTGAAGACTGTGAACATTAAGTTGCTAGAGATCAAGAAAACTCTTGTATGGGACTGTTTGAGTGTAGTAAATTCATTGTAACTAGATCAACCCAAGTTACTGTTACTATGGGACATATGTTTTATTTTAGGGGGTGGCTTCTTTGAAATGGTATTCATTGTAATGGGATGTAATAACTATGTGTGTTGCTGCTGCTGCAAATTATTAAAAATGTATGTCTACCATGTCAGATATCCCTTTTGCCCCTATGATGCATGATAAACTCTTCTGTTTGCATTTTAAAGCCCTTTACAACCTGGCCTTAATCTGTCTTTCCAGTTGCATTATATATCAAAAGGCAATTTTGTTACCACCTTATTAAATTTAATGTGTAAAAAAAGCTTTATATGCATAAGGTTAAAAACAAACTACCTAGAAGTTACAGTTTCATATACAGTCAGTTCTGCTGTAACTTGACATGCATTCCCCAAAAGCACCACAAAATTGTACAATAAAACCTACGGGGCTTATGGGAAAAATGAGGGGCACAATGTTCAAACATTTTGTCAGTGACATATTTAAAAAAAAAAAAGAAAGATAGGCCCTGTGGGGCAGAGGCCATGGTGGTTTATACCAGCCCTCTTCTGCCTACAGTTCCTTCAATAGAAAATACACAATAAATATAGGTTTTTGCCTTGCTTATGGAAGTGGGCATTGGAAGCTTTGCAGATTATGAATTGCATATTATGACATGGCAGAAGAAATAATGCCAAATAATAACCAAAGTTTGAATTATGCTCAACATGTTCCCTAATATATCAGTTGTGTTGGAACAATTCATTTATTCAAAACAAGCCTTCTAGCAAAATTATCTGTACAATCCTCCTTTTTGTTCTTTTGTATATTAGAATGTTTGTGTTCAAGTTTTCAAAAAGAAAGTTTAAGAAACAAAAGGAAAAAACATGGGAGTAATTTAAAGAGCATATCTAAGTGTACAAATACCAAAACATTTTCTGTTTTATTAGGCTACATTCTCTCCTCCCATTCCTACTGTGTCTTTCTCTCACCACTCCCTACCCTTAGAACAGTTCACACTCCCATAGGGGTCACTGAATAGGAGCAGGTGTCTTCTAACTGGAGGTAAGAGGTACTGTTTGTTTGTTTTTTATTTATTTATTTTTTTTAATTTTTATTTTGGCTAGGTGATGAGGTTAAGTGATTGCCCGGGGTCACACAGCTAGTAAGAGTTATATGTCTGAAGCTGGATTTGAACTCAGGTCCTCCTGAATCCAGGGCTGGTGCTCTATCCAGAAGAGGTACTGTTTGGATGGGCTGTTAGGTTCATCAAAAGGTCAGCAGTGGACCTTTGCTGCTGGTTCTTGATGGGTCTACCAGTTGGCTCCAATATAAGTGTAGAATATAGTTGTGTGTGAGTGAGGTTCCCATAGTGAAAGAAAACAGAAGGGGACTATTCACAGGGTAACTTTGCTAGAAATTCACCAACCACGCTTTGAGAGCATTTCTGCAGAATTATCACACTGCAATGGCTTCCAGCTTGAATACGAAAGGATGTCGTTGTACTTTACCCCCTTTCTCTTTGGGCATAGGTGCCCTGTAAATGTCAGAGAAGGAAGAAAAGTGGGGAAGGACAGTGAAATAGACCACATGCCCCTTGGGTACTTTGGGGAGTGTGTGTGTGTGATCACAATGAGAAACTGGTAGGCTAACTCACCTTTTGCTCTGCTGGAAAGTTTTGAAAAGTGCTAGATTAGAGGATCCTTACGATTATAATCCTGATCTTTCTGAGAAGGAAGAGGTAAAGCAGAGAAAAGCCAGACCCTGCTGTTTTAGGAGAAGGAGGGAGGGCAGAGGGAGCAGCTGGCAGAGCTGTTAGAAGGACATGATTTGTTGAGATTTCAGGTTTGTTCTGGCTCATGCCAGTCTGCACATACTGAGGAGCAGTTGGCCAGCCTGTATCTCTGTTCATGAGATTTTCCTGGGGAAGCAGTGTCACAAGATTCTTTCATGTGTTACAGGATGTGATCTCTATTAGGATCTGTGTGGCCATTTTGAACTGGGCTCTCATGAACTGGTGCCAGAAGAATGGCATTTGGAGAGGATGCTGGGCTTAACAGGAATGTTGATGCTCCCTGAAACCTGAATGTTTTGATCTGAAATCAGAGTCTGTGTGTCCTAGCAAAACCAGCAGTCGTAGATTTGCTTTTTCTAAATATAACAAGAAAGTGACTCAGCCTTAAAGGAGGCATCTCGTGGAAGAGCTTCAGATTTTTACACTTGGGGCCAACTAGTGACAACAACCCCAGGTTACCTTTGATAAACCTTGTTTTTGTATGTAAAGATGGTGGGTCTACTAGTTGTCATGCCTCTGGGCCTTGATTTCCTCATCTGTAAAATGAGGAGATTGAACTATGTGACTTTTAAGGACTATATGACGTTTTAACCTTCCAGCTTTAAGTCTGTGGACCTACGATACGCACAAGAATTTCTGGCTGACCCTCAAGTTTTATTGCTTTTCATCTCAAATCTGGGGTTTTAGGATTCTGAGACTAGTACTTTATTTGACTTTGGTGTATTCTTCTCAGTCCGGCTGTGCCTCCCACTCCTTAGCTATGGCTTATCTTAGCACAATTCCCTGGATGGAAATCTAGAGGAAGTGACTATTTCTGTTGCTTACATGTGCTATTGATGGTTATTTGTGTTTTGAGTATGCCAAAATATTCTGGTCATGGTGTTTGCAGTATTTCAGAATAGAAGACAGACAGACACTGGCACAGTCGGGTAGAGCAGTGGACTTGAAGTCTGGAGCCCTGGTTTGTATCCCACTGGACAGAGTTACTAGCTGTGTGATCACGGGGAGGGAACTTAAACTCTTGTGGTCTTAGTATCCTCTTATCAATGGGGTTAACAATAATTCTTATATTGTCTGTTTCACAGGGTTGTTGTAAGGAATGTGCTTTGAAATGCCATACAGATGTGAGGTGGTGGTCATAGTTATTATTTTGATTCTTTCCTCTTGTGGTAGTTTACAAATGCTTCTCATCCCCATCCCCCACCTCAAACACATCCATTCTTGGACTTGTGAGAGATCCGAAGCTGAGGAAACTCTGAGGGTTGTCCTGGACCAGCAAGGGGGTGTTGGGGAATCCAGTAGGCGGTACAATTGTGTTTTGAACCTGAGCATGGGGCTTGTTCTCCAGTCTTCTTCATTTAATTTTAGAGAAAGTAGAGTCACTACTTGCACCATAGCCCCGAGCCCTGAAAACAGTAATTCATACTGTTTGTTTATACCATTGGCCAAATAGGAAAATGTAGTACAATAAAATAAGGGCTGGAGCTGAGGAAGCCATCATGTGACTGAAGTTTCCATTGGCAGCCTCCTGTCTGGATGTGTGCTATGTGCAAGGTCAGCTTGGATAGGAGTCACAAACCCAGTGCTGTCATTTTGTTTTCCCTTCTGAAGAGGGCTATTTTCTTTAGGATTAGTGAAGTAGGCAAAGCTGGAGGTATTAGATGACTCTGGAATGCATCATGCTCCAAACACTTTGCAGTCAAGATTAGTTTAAGAAAGCTCTTGCATCCTAATGGGGGTGTGATTTTTTTTTTCCTGTCTCCACCCACTAGTGAGTGTATTGAAATGGAATATGGCAGCTGTTGGACTGCTGCTTAGCAACCTTTCCTTCACAACAATCCCAGACAAGTGATGGACATGAATCCTGGGACCAATATAGACTTACGGTGTATTTTGATGAGGAAAGTTCAGATTGGAATTGGGCCAGGTCCTTAAGTGTGAAGAATTCCAGTGACAGCAGGGTTTTTGGCCTTTCTTGAAGCAGATTGCAATGTAATCTGCAGTGTAACCCAAGTGTTCAAATTTTATACCTAGCATCCTTCCTGTCTGACTAGACCTTAATCCTGGAATAAACACTTCAGTGAATATTCCAGTTTTACGGGGAAAAAAATTTTATTTTAAACTCTGCTTATTCTGTCATTATACCACCATTCTGTTTAACAATGAAAAATGCAAGATTTTACTTATGCTTAAGTTAATTGAGTCATTTCTCCTCTCTCCCCCACCTTGAGAATTTTGCTGTTTACAAATGTACTTTGTGCCCTGGGCATCTTACCTTAGTAAGCCATACCTGTGCTTCATTTTCTGTAACTTCAGCACTTCTGGAATGAACCACATGTTAGGACAAGAGGGTTGTGATGCTGTTATTACCTGGAGTATTTGGATGAGAAGAGAAACTTATTAAAAGCTATAATGTAATGTAATCAAATGTTTTTGATCTTAGGATAAGGAAACCTGTGTGGGAATCAACAACCAGAGCTACATATGTGACACAGGCCACTGCTGTGGACAGTCTCAGTGCTGCAACTACTACTATGAACTCTGGTGTAAGTTCATGCTTTTGGCTCCGATGCTGTGGGGCTACTGGGCTCTTCATAGATTCTCTTGAGCATGGAGGGAGGGAGGGAGGGTTTGTCTGCACAGTCCCAGGGTGGTGTTCCGTGCAGCTGGGGGGGGTGGGGTTGTGTCTTTAGGCCATGTAGATAGGGCTTGTGGAATCCTTTTGTCACATTGAGAAGATACCATGACTACCTGTGACACTGAACAGAAAAGCTGAGGGAGAAAAGGAGGAAGCCTGCCTTAGGAGACTGCTTTACCTTAGAATCTTACTTTGATGTCTTGGTGGCTTGAGCTGCACAGACCAGTGGCCTACCTGGGAACTGCGGCTTGTTAATGTATACAGTCTGATGTCCTAAGCTTCCTACTCTCATGAGGGGAATAGAGGGTGGTCATGATTGATATAACAGCTTCTGTTCTCAAGAATGGAGCTACTGACATGTACAGAAAACTATGGAGGGGCCCAAAGGCAGAATTTCCTCCTTGGGATTGCCCTCTCTTCATCTACAAGTGCTCAGCTTCACTTTCTCTCATTGAGTTGAGTAAGAGAGCCCCCTCAGCTGCAGGTGAGGAGCCCCAGGGGGAGCTTTGTGGATTCTACAGCTGAGATTTCCCTACCTTACTTGAGAAGTGAAAATAGAGTCTTTTGTTAGTGCAAGAGCTGATAATACTGTTTTGGCTGATTAGTAAAGTAGAAAATGTATTACATGGTTCACTAAATTTGTCTGTGTCATAGGGTTGGGTTGGAAAGAGCTTAGCACTGTCAGCCTCTAACCTATAGATGGCTGGAGCCAAACAGAGTGGGCCAAAGACAGGAGAGTCGGAAATCAAACAGAAGTTTAACTTCAAAGTGAGGGAAACGGTTTTCAAGCAAGGAGGGGATCTAGACACATGTGCTGGGGTTCCCCCACATACACCCATGGTGGGACCCCACACAACATGGGGAGATCTCAATACTTATTAATGGTTGTACAGTGAGCTGTAGCCCTGACAATGAGGGGTAACAACAACAATGTGACAAATTTGATTCATAGCAGGGCTTCATGACCAGAACTTGTCCCAGATTATCCGAGCTCAGAGAACACCTGGTGCTGGTCAAAGCAATACAATAATTGTGTGATGTTGCCAGAGGGTAAGTGCAAAGGATTGTTGTTATGCCAAGCTCAGGGCACAGCCTGCTTGCTGGACCTTAGCCTTGGAAAACAGGGTGTCTCCTAATATCTTGACACTGCCTTGATTGAACACCTTGGTTGCAATCTTTAGATTTTGGGGCCCTTTTAAATAGAAGTTGCTAACAGGTAAGAGTAGAAATACTTTGGTGTACACATCTGAAATCTTAGTGGCCAGTAGAGATCTTCCCTCTATTAAAGAGATAAGATCAGTATAGAATAAGTATTTAGTGGGGAAAATGCTGGACATGGAGTCAGAGGAGACCTAGCTTGGAATTCCTTTTCTGACACATACTCGATGTGTGACCCTGGGTAACTTACTTAACTTCTCTGGGCTTCATTTTCTTCCTCTATAGAATGGGGGTAACAATAATACCTGCCTTACAGGGGCACTTTAAAGATCTAATGGGATGATTGCATGTGTATGTGAACTGCTTTGCAAACTTTAAAAAACTACATAACTGTCAACTATTGTTAATGATCAGTTGTGGTGTCCAGCCCTTTTTCAGTTGGTGTAGTAGGAAAAGTAAGGCCTGGGAGTCAGAAGAATCTTGTTTCTGGTCCTGGTTCTACTTGATTTCCACCTTGGTTGGCATCACTTTTTTCATCTGTAAACTTGGACTAGATGATCTTGATTCTTTCCAGTTCTAATTTATATGTGAGTAAAAATTTGCATACATTTTAATTCAAGTGAATTAAATTCATTTTGTCTTGAGAATTTGAATTACCAGCTTAAATATACATTTGGCAGTACTAGTTAGTTAAGACTTTTCTCTCCAGGACCATCTGTGAGATTGTGTATCTTGTGGATAGGTAGAAATAAGAGCATTTGCTTAACCCTTGGGGTGGTTGCATCAGTGCCATATTTACCACTTATCTAATTTTGAAAGGCCATCTGCTAAGACTGACTAGCTTGAAATTCTACCTCTGCTCGCTTCTGAACTCTATGAATGCCGAGCTGGAAACATTATATAGGTTTTGCAGAATGTTCCTTCAGAGGGTGAGTAATTTCACTCTCCCATCCCCTGAAATAGAGAGGCCTGTGAAAAACCCCAGCTGAGGCTGGGGCTGGTGGATCACCTGGCTGCACTCGTGCTGTGCCTGACAGTCTTTCAGTGGCTGTGTGTGTTGTGTTGGAGTCTGTCTACCCTTCCCTTGCTTCCTTTGTCTCAGAGGCCTCATCTCAAGGGAGTTGTCATCACTCATCCAGGAATCTCAGTTGTTTTTTTTTTAATTCAGTGTTTTATTGATGCTGTTATCTCCTCTTTAGTCTTTGATGTACCCTTGATTTCATGCCCTCCCATTTTTTCCATCACATTCTACCCCACTCCCCAACCCATGCCTTTATCACCTGCATGCTCTAATTTTCAGTCTCTTCCTATCTGCTGGATCCTTTCCTGATGCCTATAGATACTTCCCTATCCTCAAAAATCTCACTTGATTTGATCATACCTGCTATTGATTCTCCTATATCCCTTCTTTAGGGAAACAGTTTTCTCTTTAGTCTCCTTTAAAAAGCTGTCTACATTTGTTGCCTCTGCTTTCTCTCCTCTCATTCTCTTCAAAATCCTCTGTAATCTGGTTTCCAGCTTCATCACTCAACCAGAACTTCTCTTTCCAGAGTTGCTAGTGATCTCTTAATTGCCAAATTTAGTGGCCTTTTCTTAATCCTTTGCCTTCTTGATTTGACTGTATCACTATTGACCACCCTTTTTTCCTAGATGCTCCCTTTAGATTTATGTGACACTTCTTTCTTGGTTTATCTTCTGCTGTTCTGCCTTCTTTTTCATCTCCTTTTTGGGTTCATTATCCATGTTCTAATTATTGGTGTATGGCCATGTTCTTCTCTTCTTTTTTTTCCTACACTTTCTTGGTGACCTCATTAGCTCCCATCTTGATTCAGATGACTCAAAGATCTTAAATCCATCCATAGTCTGTCTCCTGAGCTCCAACTATGCACCATAAACTGCCTGTTATAGGCCACTCAGTTTCAACGTCCAAAACAGCTCATTATCTTTTGCCTTAAACTCATACCTGTCCCAGACTTCCCTGTTACAGTCAAGGACACCCCAATCCTTCCAGTCACTCAGATTCACAGTTTCAGTGTCTTCCTCAACTCCTCTTTCTTACCCCACGAATCCAGTTCAGTGGATGAATCTTGTTACTTCTGTGTCTGCAATGTCTGTCCACTCACATAATAACCACTGTAGTTCAGTCCCTAATCACCTGTCACCTGGACTTCCATTGCAGGGTCTTGGCTTTCTAATTGGTCTCCCTACTTCAGGCCTTTGCCCATTTCAATCTATCCTTTACACAGATGCCAGTAATTTTCCTAAAGTAAATCTAATATGCAGCGCTTTGATCAATTAAGTAGTGGTTCCTTATTACCTCCAGGATCAAATTTAAATCTCGGTTTTTTAAAAAATACATTGAATTTTATTGTTTTAGGTCAACATTGTCTCCCTCCCAACTCACCTTTCATTATTAAGAAAGCAAAAAAACCCAAACCAGTTGCAAACATGTACAATCAAGCATGACAGATTCCTGCATTGGCTATCTTTCTGCTGGCTTCTGCAGCCCTTCACAATGAAGCCTCACTTCCTGCCATTCCAGTCTTCTCACACATGACACCCCTCCACATGCTGTTGATCCGGCTTCCCTGCCCTTCTTGCTGTTGCTCAAACATGACCCTCCACCTCCTGATTCCTTGCCTGGGCATTGGTTGTTACCAGTGCTCTTCTTCCTTATCCTTTTCTGACTGGCTTCCTGAAAGACTCAGGTCAAGTACCGCTTTTGTGGGAGGCCTTTTCCAGTCCTTTTCACTACTGGTGCCTTCCCTTTTAGATTACCTCTCATGATATATATCTTGTAAGTACACAGGTATTTGTGTGTAAGCACACATTTTGTCTCCATTAGGATGTGAGTTCTTTTAGGGCAGGGATGGTGTTTTGCCTTTTATTTATATTTTTTATTTATATCCCCAACTTTTAGCACAGTGCCTTAACCTCTTAAAAAATGCTTTTTGTCTGGCTGAAGGACATTCTACAGGAGGCTTTTATTGGTATTGTCCCTCCTCCTTTCCAATAACTTCAACCATTACCCTTCTTTCCCTCCAGTGCTTTCCTTCCAAAATGAGTCTTCTGTTTTTGTTCAGTCCTTTTAGTCTCATGTCTGACTCCATTTGGGGTTTTCTTGGCAGAGATACTGGAGTTCTTTGCCATTTCTTTCTCCATTTCATTTTACAGGTGAGGAAACTGAGGCAAACAGGGTTAAGTGACTTGCCCAGGTTCACACAGCTAGTTAAGTATCTGAGGCCAGATTTGAACTCAGGAAGGTGAGTCTTCCTGATTCCAAACTCAGTGCTTTATCTATTTCTCCACCTAGCCAGCCATAATTTAAATGCTTGTGTGATCTTATTAGAGAAGAGTAGTTGTCTTAGTTAATAGAGCATCTAATTGCTATACCTACTTTGTATCAACTAGGTGCTGATTAGTGTGGATGAGAACTCTTTGAGGTGGAAGCATATATCCAATTCACACTATTCAGAGTTATAATTATGTAAAATATAGGGGATTCTAGCCCAATGGAAATATGCCCTGCAAATTTGAATAATGCCACCACTTCTGGGGATTCCTTATTTGAAATAATTAAGTCTAGCCACTTGTCTCCTTTGTAGAATTGTAAGCTCTTTGAGGGTGGGGGCTGTTTGTCTTTTTATTTCTCTGTATACCTTGAACCCAGTAAGTGCTTAGTAAATGCTGATTGACTGTTGATTGATGCCTTTTGTCTAGATTTCACAGTCCTTTCCTACACCTTCCTTCCAGATTGAACCTAACCTAGAGACAAGGGAAAACTATTAAGCCAACACTTACAGTGTAGTGTTTCGGTATATAAAATAATACTGACCTCCCCCAGTTCTGGATTGGGGGAGGGCAAGCTATCTTTCATTATTGTTTCTGTGGGACATTTAATGGTTTTTCCAGTACTTAGAATTCAGTGAGCTCATCTACTTCAGTGTTCTCTTCTTTCCCCTTTAGTTATTAAAAGAAAGAGATACCTTGCTTTGCCCATTCGGGTTATCAGCAGATGCCTAAGCTGTGGGTGAACGAATATCAGGGCAACCCAATAAGCAGATAATGAGAAATCAGTCCTCACCATGTCACAGTATTTTTGGTGGCATAAGCCGTTTAGAGTCCTTAAGAGTTACTGGGAGAAGGTTGTTATGGTATTTCAAGGGTGAATTAGTACTGAAAAATTCCTTAATGTTTCCAGTATGTTTCACAACTTGGATGAAGTAATTCCAGATGCTAGAATTTAAATAGAAATTTTAATTTTTACTTTGTATTAGCCCACATAAAGAGTGGCGGAAACCTCGTGGGAGCAGAAGAGGCAGAAAACATTTTGCCCAGGGAGGTTACAAGTAATGAGGTGTGTTCTTGGCTGTTGTTGTAACTAGCTGTTTGGAGGAATGAAACTGTAGGCCACCTTCTAGATAAATCTGTGCCTTCATCTCTTCCTTCCACTTGGAAACAATTCTCTAGGCTGTTGGGGGGGGGGGGCTGTTTGTCTGTACCTAGTAGAGTGCCTTGCACACAAAAGCATTACTCCCCACTTCCTCCTTTCTCTTTCCCTTTCAGTGGGCTGGAGAGGGGGTGGCTTGAAAGGTCAGTTGTTTGGAATGGAAAGAAAATTAAGCTCTTGGCTGGGACATATCTCCCTCTGACACTCATCCACATCTTGTAGCCTATGGGAGTGGTTCCTGCAAACAGGACCTCTCCCTCCTGCTTCCTCTTTGAGAACTGGTGGAAGAGCAAGCCTGGAACTCCAGAAGAGTTTGGTAGTTAATAAGGTGTATGCATGGATTACCATACCCCAGGACAATCTCTACTAATCTTACAAATAGGAAGCAGAAAAGGAGGAAACAATTATTGTTTTGAAAGGCTTATGGACTAGTGAATATAATATATGAAGCAGGCAGACAAATTATATTTAGATGTTTAAAATGCAGCTTCCTTTCTGGGTTCATGTTCTACTCTGACACTTATAAAACCAAGGCCTTCCTTCACCTTGGTTTGTTTTTCTTGGTGTCTGTGCCCAGGTGGTAGCAGGCCCTGAAAGGAGCAAATGAAGCTGATGCTTCCTTTCAGATAGACCCTTTAGGAGCCTTGGCTGCAAAGCAGAAGGAGTCCCTTGTGCCCAGAATTCCGTTATCAGAGCTAGGTAGGTAGAGAATGTGGCAACAGAGGGTCACAGCTTTTTTTGGCATTTTATTTTCAGTTTTGGGGGAGATTTAAGGTTGGAAGCTTTTCTTGGTATACCCTCTCCACACACAGCCAATGTTACTCTCCCCTTCCTTTGATATCCCTTAGCAACTTGCCCCTCGCCTATGTACTTATCATATTTGGCTTTAGATGATGTTTACTTGTATACCTATCCTATCTCTCCTCATCTAGGTTGTAAGCCTGAGGACAGGGACCAAGTCTCATTCATCCTTGTATCGGTCCAGGCGAGAGAACAAAGCATGATGGTAGTGGTTAGGGAGCCAGGAAAACCAGAGTTCAGGTCATTCCTTCAGCATGTATGGCTTTGTGACCCTGGGCATGTCTTTTAACCTCTCTCTGCCCTCAGCAACTCTCTAAGACTGTAAGTTGCAGAAATGGTGGCAACCTGCATTAGTAGAAGCACTTACTTCCTCTGGGAGTTCTTACACCAGTGAAGTCAGATCTTACTCTGTCCAACCCTGTTCTTCTAGCACAGGGTCCTATACACAGTAGGAGTTTCATAAATGTTTGTTGAATTGAATTGAATCTTCTCTTCAACATGTTGCCCTTGAAGGGAACGAAGAGCAGGACAAGAAGAGAACTAGGGCAGGAAGGAAATAGCTTACCTTTTGCAGGGATAATTTGTAACTCCGACAGTGGCCAAGATTCCAAAAGTGAGTCTTTTCTGCTGAAGATGACTTCTTCATCGATCACTAGACTCCTGGTATTTCACCTCCTCTCAGTAAATCTGCCAGTGTTTTTCCTCTTTGATGTTATTGGCCTCTCCTGATAAAGAAAAGCTGCACATAAGCGCTACCCCAGGGAAGGAACGTTGAATTTGGAATAAAGCGCCTAGTTCTCATATCAACTCTTTATGGCCTTTGCCATTTTGAACCTACTTTCACTAGTACCTTCTAGATTTTAATCAAGGAAGTAGTAAGGATTTTTTTCATTCTGATGACAGTGGGGGAGGAGATAAGGAAGATTTAGCCAGGAAGTCCTTTGGCAGACTTCCTCTTAGAGTGTATGTCTAACCCTTCATAACTGCCATTAAATATTGAACTACAGTAAGCCCCAGAAATCTTGCTACTTCCTGTCTTCCCCGATCAGTTCATTCATGTTAACTGGGAACAGTCAACTCCCTCCCTTGCCCCCTCCAAAAGGCATGACTGGGGCCTCAATCCATTATCCTTTTTCTCATGCTCTTATAATTCTCCCTGTTGACACAGGGACAGGGGGCATCATGAGCCCTGTGGACATCTATAGGTGTGGCTCTAATAAAGCAGTGTTAAGCAGTGTGGCATGGAACTCCATCATATCGTTGGTTGGGATGGCATATATTTTCTTATGCCCAGTCTCACACAAATAAGAAGCCAGCTAGGTGCCAGGAATACAAAGATGAAAACTTACGCAAGGACACATATAGATTGGCTTTTAAAGATTTTGTTTTCAAAATCAAATTCTGTCACTTACTGCTTGCATGACTTTAGGCAGGACACTTAACCTCTCTCTGCCTCAGTTTTCTCATCTGTAAAATGAGGGGGTTAGACTGGATAACTTTCCAAGATCCATTCCAGCTCTAAATCTGTGATCTTATGATCCAGTGATTCAAATCTGTGGAGAAGTAGATAGGAATTATGCTTGAATAATCACAGATAAACCTTCTTTATAGATGATTTTACCCTGATTTGCACTTTAGTATGAGAGTTGGGGGGGGGGAGTGGGGCAGAGGAGAGAATGTTCCCAGGGAATTTTCCAAAGATTACATGAAGCATAGTGTTACTACGTTCATTTAATGACTGTAGTCCCATTATATTTATCATCAGTTTGTCTTAAGTATGTCAGTAGGTCAGTAGTGTTTACCTCCAAATTAGAATATTCTTTCTGGGTCAGTTATGCATATCATTCTGTATCCTATTCCAGCCATGACAGACCTTTGATTGGTTTTCCAAGAGACAGAGAGAAATAAGTTGTTCTTAAACTAATTCATTGTCACAGGTGGTGATTTTTGTGTTAGAATTTTAGATTAAAAAACATTAAAAGAGGCTTTTTTATTGCTTTTGGATCTGTTGTCATTTCTACAATTTCATTTCTATGGACAAGTTGTCTAATGATTTAAGTGAAGTAATCAATCTTCTAATAGTCTGAACTTCCCAAGAACCAACCTTTGGAGGGGAAGGGGTGTAGTGGAGGATTATAGGTGTCTACTCTTTGTGACACTTTGAAGTGCCTTGCCCAGTCAGCATTGTCAGGAAGTCCTGCCTACTTTCTAGTGGTAAAACTTAATTTCTGTTGAGTCTCTAGGGCCTTTTGCATAGAAACCCTTTGCTTTTTCTGTATGCCAAATACCAGCTCCTGAGGCTATCAAGAAGGTATACTTTGGCTTATTGCTAGAGAATTTCCCACCAGCAGAGCAGTGACATTTTCCCAAGCTTATAATGAACTCTGAGGTGCATGACCTGGTCCTTTATATTTGATTATGCTTTAAAAAACATGTTTTCCATTTTCCTGAAGATGACAATATTTCCCGCAATGAGGTCACAGCTTCTAAAGCAGTCATTGAAGAATGCAGTCTCTGGGTCTTTTTGGTGTGTGTGTGTGTTGTTTTTTTGTTTGTTTATTTAGTTTTAGCTTTCTTTTTTAAACTTTCTTTTTTTCCTTGTTTGTGAAACCTACTAGAAGAAGGGAATTTCATGAGAAGTTTGCACAGCTCCACAGGGATCAGTACAGACATTTCTCCTTCAAGAGGACAGTGGCGCCAACTTGACTTGGATGGGTTGCTCTAGTTAGTTTTGTATGGCTAATATCAGAATGCCTTCTGCCCTACTTCCCACATATTTATAGTTAAGTAGAACCTGTTCTTCGGTTTCTGCACATAGATTAGTGCCCAGTTATGCCACTAGACCAGCTTTACTTCTGGTACAGTTTCCCTCCAAGTCTCTGAGAAACATTTTTGGTTGGCTTAACCCACCCTTGCAAACAGGCATCTGCTAACCACCCAAGGCAAGCAGTGACTTATGTTAGGTAACTGGAGAGGCATGCTGGCTTCTTATGTGTTTTAATTACCAGTGCTACCTCCTAAGAAGAAGACAGATCAATTCAAAATAATTCCTGTAGGAAAATGACCTTGAGGGGGGATCTGTTTTACAAAGCAAGGCTGGGTTGACTTTGCCAGTTGCCCCATTCTTTTTTCTATCCACATTCTGGCCTCTGACATGTCTTCCTCAAGTACTACCCAACTCATCTTCTGTTATTTTCTGCCCTGGAGTGTCAGATTGGTAAGGATATTTTTTTTCCTTTTCTTCACAAGTCTACCTTGCAGCTTGTATGGGAATATATTTAAGGCTTTGTCCTAGTAGCTCATGTTTATATAGTACTTTAAAGTTTTAAAGCACTTTCCTCATAACCTTATGTGGTAGGTAACAAGAATTACCCCCATTTTATAGATAAGGTTATTATATAAACTCAGGTATTATATTATAGATATTATTTTATATATTGTAATATTTGTTATGTGGTATATATTTATTATGGAGATAAGTGATTTGGCCATAGTTGCACAGCTAGTAAGTGTTAGATTGCAGAGTCAAACCCATGTCTTCTGACTTAGACTCCATTATGCTTAGTATTGTTATGGTGATGCTAAAAATGAGGGGTAGATTTATCATCAGAATCAACTTGTCAGATTTTGTTTTAAAAGGATATATAAATATGTGGCTTGGGAGATGATAATTCCATCCAACACCATCTTTGATGGTGAAAAGATAGGTTTGTCTCTTAGAGCCCTCCTCCATCTCCTTACCTTCCTCTTGACCCTTAAAACACCATCCAACTGTCACTGTGTTCTGCTGAGATTCCCAAATCTGTGTCTTTACTCCTGAATTCCCTCTGTAGAATCTCTACCCAGATACACCTCAACTTTGTCATGTCCAAAACTGAACTGATTTGCTTGGCTTAAACTGCCCTTCCCTGAATCTGCCTTTTCTTTTGATGTTACTATCATCTTTCAAGTTACTCTCCTTGTATTCTGCATTCTAGCCAAACTGGACTACCCAGTGTCCCTTGTTTTCATTCTGCCTTCCTTTTATTTCCATGCCTTTGATCAATCGAAGTCAGAATCAGAACCACCTCTGTCTGTTTCAGTGTCTTCTTCCTCAGGTGTCCAGTCTATTTAGCCTTTGCTCCTGACTAATCCCTCCTCCTCCACTAACAGTGATGTCTTCTTAAATTTAATGTAGCTATGTGTATGCATTGATATAAGTCTCACCATGAGGGCAGGCTCTTACTTTCATTTGGTATGGAGAAATGGAAATTGTACCAAGTGGTTGAAAACTCAGACTCCTTTGTGTTTTCTTCTAGGACAGTAAAGCTTAGGCTACATTAGGAGAAGCCTCATGTCCAGAAAGTACCAGCTGATAGTTGTGTTGTGCTCTGCGCTGATATGATCACATTGAGAAATAATATAAATTCTAAATATTAAAATATATAAAATACCTACCAAGAAATATTCAAGGTCTGTAGAAATACAATTACAAAACACTTTAAAGACAAAAAATAAATGTCAAATAATTGGCAGAGCATTCATTGCTCATGGTTGGGCTTCAGTGAAGAAAAATTATGGAATTATTCAGTTGGTGTTATATCAGTCAAACTGTCAAGAAGTTATTCATAGAGCTTGACAAAATAGTGGCAAAATTCACTTGGAGCAGCATGAAGTCTAGAATTTCAAGGGAAATAAGGGATGAGGTGTAGTAAAAATGAAGGAGGAACAGCATTTCCAAACTTCAGTGCATTTAACCAGTAATTAGTGAAACCATTTGCTGCTTATTTTTTAAAAAATAGAAAAGTCGGTCAGTGAAACTTCAGAATTCGAGAAAGGGAAGAGATCTCAGTGACCATCTGGTCCAACCCTTAGCTGGAAGGAATTTCCATCATAACATACTAGACAAATTGGTCATCCAGATGCCACTTGAAAACCTTCAAGGAAGGGAAACTCCACCACCTCAGTTCATTATGCTTTTGAATAGTTCAAATTGTTTGGAAGTCCTTCCTCTTTCTAGGCAGGTTTGCTTACTGTGTAGTCTCTGGGCCCTTTTGGGAAAAATGCAGGAGGAGAGATCACGGGAAAAGCTGACTGAAGACTGTAGTCTTGCTTCCCTTTGGTTGGAGGAAAGCCCTGTGCTCCACCACTGAGCTGGATTCCTCTTGACTCTTATCTTCCAACTTGGTCACCAGTGTGCCTCAGTGTAGGACAGTGGGCCTCCACATTTTAGGAAGGGCATGGATAAGCTAAAGGAGGGTAACCAGGATGGTGATGGGCCTCAAGTCCATGCCACATGAGAATAAGGAGCTGGGGATGTTTAGCTTGGGGAAGGAAGGAAGAAAGGGATGAGGGTTGTCTTGAAGTGTTTGGAGGGCTGTTACATGGAAGAGAGATTAGATTTTTAGATTTGTTCTGCTTGGCTCCATGGGGCAGAACTAGGAGCCATGGCAGAATTTTCAGAGGGATATAGGCTTGATATAAAGGAGAACATCCTAATAATTGTAGCTATTCAAAAGTAGAGTGGGCTGCCTCAGTAGAACTCTCCATGGGATGGCTGAATGACTACTTGTCAGGGATATTGTAGAGGCTTCTTTTGGTTAGGTATTAGTTGGACTAGATGACCCCTGAGGTCATCTCTGAGACTTCTGACTCTGAGACTCTGATTCTGTGAAACCAGACCTTCTTCACCTTATTTGTGTCATGGACCCCTTTGGCAATCTGGCAAAGCCAGTGGACTGTTTCTCAGAAAAATCCTTTTAAATGCATAAAAAATAAAATCCATAGGATTACAAAGGAAACCTGTAGTGTTGAAGTACAGTTATCAAAATACGGTGGGGGTGGGGGTGGGGGGGAACCAAGTTCATGGACCTCAGGTGAAGAACTCCTATTCTAGGGACACTCATAAGTTCTGCAGCAGTGTGACATTTCCCAGTCTGACCCCACTGGTTGGGGCTAGGAGACCTGGCAGGACCAAAGCAGGGGGGTGTTGTTACAGGATTCTTTGGAATCTTTTCCAGGAACTGAGAGATAATGGTATTCCCTTTCATTCATTGAGTCGTCTAGGTGGTACAGTGGATAAAGCACCAGGTTTAAAGTCAGGAAGACCTGAGTTCAAATTCAGCCTCACATATTTACTGCTGTTGTGATTCTGGGCAGATCACTTAACCTTTGTTTGCCTCAGTCTCCTCAACTGTAAAATGGGGATAATGATTTATAATACTAACTTCAGCCTTATTGTAAGGATCAAATGAGATAATATTTGTAAAGCACTTAGCACTTTGTAAAGCATTTCTCTAAAGCACATAATAGGTGCTGTATAAATGCTTATTCCCTCCTTCCCTCTTCTGATTATAGTCACAGTTAGTATTTGATAGGGAAAGATAAATGTAAAACAGAGTACAAAATCCCACATAAAAACCCCAGTATTTAACAAAATAGAACCAAGCAAATTAACAAGTAGTG